ACAGATTTTAGGGGCTTTTGTGGTTAAAAGTTTTGTGCTTTTACGCAGGCTAGTTACTACAGAAGTGAGATGTTACCGCTCTTGAAAAAACATAAGGTGATAAAGTTCACACACACTGATTCACGCCTGGCCAACAATGGCTTGCCACCATCAATCCAAAGGCTGAGATGTCGTGCTAATTACCAGGCATTAGGGTACTCCAAGGAGATTGAGGATTTTGGGAAAGTTCTGGTTAATAGGTTACGAAACAACAGTGAACCTTTCATTGCTTTGCACTTGAGGTACTGTGATGTTTCTTTTTGCATCCTGCATTTGCATTTTTGGGGACACAGGTTTGTTTAAAAATGAGAATTTGAAATGCAGATACGAGAAAGACATGCTTGCCTTTACAGGCTGCAGCCACAATCTCACAGCTGGGGAAGCTGAAGAGCTGAGAATAATGAGGTACAATGTTAAACATTGGAAGGAGAAAGAGATTGACAGCAGAGAGAGACGGATCCAAGGCGGTTGCCCGATGTCTCCTCGAGAAGCAGCCATATTTCTTAAGGCAATGGGATATCCATCCTCGACGACTGTATACATAGTTGCTGGTGAAATATATGGAGGAAACAGTATGGATGCTTTTCGAGAAGAGTACCCAAACGTCTTTGCTCATTCATACTTAGCAACTGAGGAAGAGTTAGAGCCCTTTAAGCCATACCAGAACCGGTTAGCTGCGCTGGATTACATTGTGGCACTTGAAAGCGATGTTTTTGTATATACATATGATGGGAATATGGCTAAGGCAGTACAAGGGCACCGAAGATTTGAAGGGTTTAAGAAAACTATCAATCCAGACAGGTTTGAATCAATCATTATTCTTCTTTTTGCAACTGCCTTTAACTTTGTTTACTGATATGAAGTTTGTGAATGGCAGGCTAAATTTTGTAAGACTTATAGATCATTTAGACGAAGGTGTCATGTCATGGGATGAGTTTTCATCAGAGGTGAAGAGATTACATAACAACAGGATTGGAGCGCCATATGCGAGACTGCCCGGTGAATTCCCTCGGCTAGAAGAGAATTTCTACGCGAACCCACAACCAGATTGCATATGTAACAAGTCTCAGCCTGAGCAACTTTTGAAATCAAGAGAGTCAGATAGATGGAGGAAGAGTGCTTCAAGATAGAAGAAAGAAACACAGTGAACACAAATACAACAACATTGATTCAAACCTTTTTTAGCCTTCTTGTACAATATAGGAAAAAGAAGACAGATTTCTTGGAAGATCATTACAAATGTGTAGAATCCAATTCCACCATACAGAAGCATGAAAGATATATAGCATTTTTTTTCCCTTTGTGTCTCTCTTCAGAGAAGCTTCTACTAGAAATCCAAATAGAGATATGGTTGATCCTTTGCAACACAGCATGATTTGTGTTTTTTTGGATCAAACATTATTCTTTGTATTTGTTGTTATTAGAGTGACTTCATTGTACATGAGAGTCCGGATTATAACTTATGATATACATGGTTTCTTGATCACAAAATCATTTGTCCCACAGAGAGCCAAAGGGAACTTTTTAACTTATGTTTTGTTTTCAATTTCACTGAGCCATGTGATCGGGTCCTGACCGGAATAGAGTCAAACCGGGTCAACCCGGTTATGGATTTTTTCTTCAATGATGGTTAAAAAAGTTTAGAATGTGAAAAACAGATATCGTTGGCTTCGTCTCTTCAACAAGATCTCAAATCCGATTTTCATCACCTGTAAGTATCTCTCTCCAACTGCACATTTCCGGCGAATGACACTTTCCCGGAAAAAATTGAACTTTTTACTTTTGATTCAGCTATCAATTTTTTTGATGAAAAAATCGATCCTTTTGTTTTTCCTCTTCTTCTGGAAATCTGGTCACGAGATTTGGGTTTTATTTCTTTTAGTGAGATCAATCGATCAGCTTGCTTGAATTTTACTATAATCTTCGATCTTTCGATGAAATTAAAGTTAACGATTGTTGGTAATCAAATTGATTTATCTATTTAGACAAGGAGTTGGATGACTTCAGTTTCTGAATCTAGTATCAATTTGTCTTAAGAAAGTGAATCCAGGACATAGACTGATCAACGAAATCTGTTTTATCCGATTCTGCAGATATTGAGGACAGGAGATTCTAACAAACTTGAGCTAAACGTCAAGTTTCCTTTACTAGGTATGCATTTGCTCTATATTGTATAATCTCTCAAATTTCACATTCTCTTAGACTAAGAATTAGATATGATGGTCTTGTTTAATAGCGTCCAAGGCTGATCTACTGTCTTCTTCACATAGAATGATAACTAAACTCTCATAAGCATCCAAATTTTGTGTTTGAGTTTCCCATCTTATGAGAGAACTATGTGTCTAAGTCTTCTTAGCTTTCTTGCTATTATGGAGTTGCTTGTGTGATTCTATTCCTGAGGAGATTGTTACTTGGTTTGATGGTAATAGGTGCTCTGAGTTTTAATGCAATTTCAAGACAACAACTGAAAGACAGGAAAACAGTTTTGTCTTTCAATACACCAAATAGATAACTAGGACCTGTCCAGATCACTGTATAGCGTCATAGTAGTATTGCAATTGGTTCTTGTTGATTAATGTGTTATACTCAAGATTTGGCCTTGCTACCTTCTTTGCTTTCTTCTGAGAACGTTTAGGTACAAAGCTAAGCTAAGAGTTCTTTATTTTTAAGAACACCAAATATTCTTGCTATTTTGGAGTTGCTTATGTGATTCTATTTCCTGAGGTGATTGTTACTTGGTTTGATGGTTATGAGTGGTCTTGAGTTTTTTTTTTGCAATTTCATGTCAACAGTGTAACACTGGAAAACAATTTTATCTTTCAAGGCACACAATAATGAAAACTAGGACCTGCCCTGATCACTGTAAAGCTTTATAGTAGTATTGCAATCGGTTCTTGTTTATTAATGTGTTAGATTCAAGATGTTGCCTTACTACCTTCTTTGCTTTCTTCTGAGAACTTTTAGATACAAAGTTAAGCTAAGAGTTCTCTATCTTTCAGAACACCAAATATTCAAAAGCTTGATCACTTGCATATAGTACCACAAATGTTCCATGTTTACTTAACACTGTATGTTACCAAGAGTATATGTTACCACTCTTGCCGCATAAGTCTTGATTGTTTTCTATCCTCTCCAGTTTCCACAGAGAAATCATGGGGTTCTGGACACTAATGGAAGGATTGCTACTATTTGCAAACGCACTGGCTATCTTAAACGAAGACCGTTTTCTAGCTCCCAAAGGATGGACGCTCGCAGAACTCCACCAAACGGGCAAAAGAAACTCTCTCAAAGGCCAAATCATTGGTCTCATCCACGCCTGTCATTACATGAGGCTTCCTCTCATGCTCTTTAACTTAATTGTCATTGTCTTTAAGCTTTTCTCTGGTTAAAATGATCAAACCCCGTTTTTGAATAAACTCAATCCAAGCATTTCTGCAACTTCTTTAGCAATTCATTTTATAGTATTTAACTTCAAAAGCTCAGATTTGTATACATTATTGTTATGCTTCTTACAACTACAAACACAGTGAAACAAAATAAAAACAAGTTCTTTGAAACCAAAAGCAGGAAACTTTGAATCAAATTCATTCAACAGGAATCATGACCTCATTGGTCCTAAACGGTGGTAACGTCCATGGAGGATTATACCTAGCAAGAACGAAATCTCCGGTGATCTTAAACCCATCTTTCTCAAGATGACTACTCAGCTTCTTCACCTTCTCACTCACCACACTCTCCGACGCTATACCACTAAACTTAATCACACCATACTTCCTCCCTCCTTCCTCCTTAATCACAACCCTCTCATCCGTTGGACGTGGTGCCTCCTCCGCCTTCTTATACATCGACGGCAACAAAAACTGCATCGTCACCATCTTCTTCCTTCCTTCTCCACCACCTTCCTTAGTTACAACCGGAGAAGTCATCTCAATCTTCTCACTCTCCTTAGTAATCACCGGAGCAGTCATCGCAATCTTCTCACCTTCCTTAGTGATCACCGGTGCAGTCATAGCAATTTTCTCCGGTTTCTCATTCTCCGGTTTGCCAAACACACCTATGTACTTAGCCAAAACCTGAAAGCCTCCGTCTTTATCACCTTTGAACTCCGACGCATCGTATGTAACCTCCGCCGCAACCGCTGGTGGATATTCACGGATCTCATAACCGTCACCGGATTTAGTCACCGTGTATTTAGGAGTCTCTACAGCGATTTTACCAAAAACCATTCCCATTATGTAAGTTTTACCAAAAACTATTCTCATAGGAGAAGTAGTATTTATCAGTTTGGTTCTTTCGGTTACTAAACGCAAACGTGTGGTTAGCATTTGACAACGTATGTGTATAAAAATATTTCAATTTATTTATAGAAGAAGATATGATAAACTCAAATCGAATTTTTGGCTTTTTTTGTTTGAAAAATCAGAGACGCGTCATGGTTAATTATTTGCTTTATGACTAAATTTACAGAAGCAGTTTGACACGTTTCTGGTTTTTGTGGTTCAGAGCATTCTTTCGTTACGTGGAGGTTCAGGTTACACGACAAAGATGAGAGACTATTCTCGGTGGTCTAAAAAACGACTTTGTTTTAGACAAAACGGTGCGTAGTTGTTTTTAGAAAACGGCAGGTAGTTTGCGTCTCAAAGGATATATCTGTTACCAAACAGAAGTGTAGGGTTTTGTCTTCGGCGGCTTATATAAATAATTTTCTCGAGCCATTGAATCTTAGAATCTGTTCGTCGATTTGTCTGATTAAGCTAGGGTTTTGATAGATTTTCTTTTTCGATCTTGTTTTCTTTTGGTTTATGTTTTGATAAGAGAGCATCGGTGATGAATCCATGAAAAAATTGTTATCCTTGCACTTTGATTGCTAGTGAAGAAACAAATGGGGTTTTCGATGTCTGAGATGCTCATTACTTTTTTTGTCTTCTTTGCTCGATTTTGCTTCGTGTTAGACTGTTAGGATTGGATCGATGATTGATTAGTTAAAATACTGCGTTATCTTTCTGCAAATCTCCTATAAGGATTTGAAGACAAATCATGAAAAACCTGAGATCCAATGTTTTTCAATCAATTATCCAATGTTTTTCAATCAGTTGTTTTAAATCTGGTTTTGGTTGATGGATAGAATCAGATCGATGATGTCATATTAAACTGCGTTATCTATCTTAAAATCTCCGAAATAGGAGTTGCAGACACTAAACAGAAAACGCTGAGATCTGATATTAGCCTAATTTCAATTGATAGTGTTTATGACAATGGCTTGTTGTTTTGTTCTTAATGTTAGTTTTTGGATTCTTAATTAACGAGTAGTGTCCGAAAAAAAATAAAAAAAAATAAAAAAAATTAACGAGTAGTGTTATACTGAACATATTCATAAGAGTAATGCATTAATATGATTGGCGTGTTCGAAAGAAGAAAAAAAACTGCAACAGAGCTCGGCTGATGCAAATTGTGAACTTGTATATGATTGAACCAAACCTGACTCAAATTAAGCCCTTTAGTTAGGCTTTTGATTGCCACAAGCACACAAGGCACAAAAGCGCAAGCCAAAAAAAACAAAAGAAAGCCTTGTTGAAGAAAACAAAAATCAAATATTTTGCAAGGAATGATCGAACCCATGAACTGATTTTCTTACTCTCAGCACCTTAACCAGTAGAACTAACTGCAGTTTCAGAAACTGTAGTGTAATAGTGATTTATCAAACCAAACAGTACAAAGTAGTTAAACCCAAATTACATAAATTTCTACCAAAGTTATCAAGATAAAAAAAAACCATAGTTTAAATTGAACCGAAATTTTGACTAAAGTTATCCAGATAAAGAAACCAACGAACCAGCCGAAACCAGACGGTCCAAAATAGCTAATCGCAAAAATCTTAAAATCGAACGGTTCCATAACAATATATGGTTTTCCAATTTTGTCCCTTACAAAAAATTTGGCATCACCCGCCACAAGAAATCTCCCGGGAAAATCGAAATAAACCGTTCCAATTCCAAAGCTTCTAAAATCTCCCGCTAGTCCTTTACCTTCTTCTTCTTCTTCTTCTTCTTCTAATCAACTTCTCTCTCCCTCTCCTCCGCTTCTTCACATTCCGATCATTAGTGTTTTCGGAGAAATGGCGAGATCAAACAGATCCAAGACTTCAGAGCGTATAATAGGCAATGGTGAAGTTACTCCGATTCAAGTCGCCTTCCTCGTCGATCGATACCTCTGCGATAATCGCTTTTCAAAAACCAGATCACTTTTCAGATCTGAAGCTTCTTCTCTCATCTCTAATTCTCCAGTTCGCGAAGTAAGCACCTAGAGAAATTCCCAATTTTCCAATTCCAAAATTCGATTCATCTATTTGTGAGAGTCTTATAGTTTTCTGATTTCGCAGGTTCCGAATAGTTTGTTACCTTTGAATGAGATTTTAAACGAATACATTCGTCTCAAGAAGGAGAAGATTGTGATGGATCAGGAGAAATCGAAACTGGATCAAGAGAAAACTCGAGTTCAGAATCTATTGAATGGGATGCAAGATGTGATGAATGCTTATAACTCCTCCACCGCCGCAGCTCCTCCTCCTCCTCCGGTGATTACGTCGGCAGCTCCCATGGATAAACAAGTAGTTGCTTCTACTTCTAAACAGAACAATTTCGGCGTCTCTTCTTCAGGTAATTGAATATTACTACTGCTTTTGGTTTATTCTGGAACTAAATTGGAATTGTCACTATCATTAAGTTTGTGTTGATCTTGATTCCCACATGCTCTGGTTTGTGATTGAAGCTGTTATTTGGTTATCATTGATTATGGTTTTGCAATTGTGGGTTATACACAGTAGTTTTTGCTGCAATGACATAGACTTTAGACTTGGTCACCAAAATCGCCACTTGGTTGATTTGTTTTCCAGATATTCTTCATTGGAAGGATGGTTGTATAAGTTGATGTTATCAGGAACTAATGACATGTTCTTATCTCCAGGCTGCACTGTGTACAATACACAAAATGCTATGACAGTATCATTACCAGGAAACAAAAGAGTTGGGAATTTCACAGGACCTTGTATCACTCAGTCTATAACCAAAAAGAGAAAGAGTCCTGAAGTTTCTGTAGGAGCTCCTTCTGTTTCTAGGAAAGGTAGTTGTACTAATGTTTATTCATTATATACTTACATTGATGTGATAATGATACCTTTAAGTATTCATTATCCTTAAAACTTATTTTGTCTTCTTGTCTTATACTAGGTATGAAAAAGATCCCACAAGCTGCTAATTACTTGACATTTCAAACACCATCTGAAATGCAAACGCCATTGAACAATGGTGTAGCTACTAATGAGTCGTCTGATCTTACATCAAGTGTGGCAAAGTGTTTGTTTGACAAATCAGGCACGTCTCCTCCGAGCAACTCAACTTGTCCTAGGACACCACAACAGAAAGTATCTCCTCAGAGTGATAAAGAAGTGACTCCTACAAACTGCACAATTGTTACTAAGGAGAGAATCACAGTCAGTCCTCTCAAACAAATTGCTTCTTATACAGTGGAGAGGAGCCATACGGTTTCTTCTTTTTCGCCAGTTAAGTCTAATCTGAAAATGTCGAGTAAAAGAGATCATGTGAAAGGAAGGCTCAACTTCGATGATACTGAAGCCACAATGCACTTAGACGCACCTGCCACTGTGGATATGGTTTCAACTTCCTCATCTGGCTCTGAAGCAGAAGCTGATTTATTTGACATTGATTTTTCCAATATAGATCTTCTGAGTGAAGACTTTTCATTTTCGGAGCTACTATTCGATTTTGATATTGGTTGTGAAGAAATGTCAAACCATTCCCTACCACAGCCATCAAATTTCCACATAGAGACTGCTTCAGGGTATATTCTTCTCTTTGGCTTAATAACTATCTGAAAATTCTAATTATCTACTATCATTTTACTTATTAGATTCAATTCTGTATCACAGGTCATCTCCTGAATCAAGAAACACGAATCTAGAGCCTGACCAGGTTGTATCAGAGTATACATCAACAGTAACAGAAATGATTCAAGGGAAAGACATGAACACACAAGGTTGGTTTAGTCCAATCTTCACGTAACATTTTAAATATAAAACTCCTATAGCTGTTTTCACTGATAAACTCTTACTGTTTCAATTTGCAGGATCTGACTCTATGACTACTGTAAAGTCCATAACAAAATGCCTACGAATCTTAAGTCCTGGTAATTTCTCTTTCTCATGCACTGTGACATAACCATACCACAGATCTCAGTATGTATCTTTTCTTCCTAACATGACAATTTTTTCTTCTATCTGCAGCCAAGAATTGCAGACAGAGAGTCACACTTGACTGATTCGATCCTCCGAGTTGTCCACCACGCTTATATGCATTTTGAGAGCTAATCAACAATAACTTAGACCTTTTGCTTAGCTCTTAACTAGTTTATAAATGTAAGTTAAATACATTATTAATTATTTCCTCTTAGTATAGTAGTTCTGTAGCTCAATTCTCTACTTGACTATTGATAAAAGTAGAATTAACTTGTAATTTACAGTTCATGTCTCTCTATTTGATCTACCACCAAAACTTATCTGAATCAAACCAAGTACGTACTTGTCCAGCTTCTCCACTTTTTATTCTGTCCACCTAATTTGGGCCACCAGCCAAATGTTTCTGTTGAACAAAACATATCATTCAAATACTTCCAGTTTCTGGTCTTGTGTAAACAACTTTTCCAGTTTTGAACATGAAACTGTTGAGACAGAGCAACTACTTGTCTTGTCCTTTTCGATGTTTATTAAGAAACAAAACATAACGAGTCAAAAAGATAAGAAAGAAATTGGGCAGAAAATATGAGCAACACTCGTACGAGGTGATTTTAACTTAACCTCATGTGTCCTAGTTATGAAATGTATGTAAGAATTTTTCACATTTTGGAATTTTAGATTTAATAATTGTTTTAATTAATATTTTAACCTCTTATACTTGAAAAATGATTTGCAATGAGTCTAATCACATCAAGTATAACAATGAAAACTTCTTATTTTTTCTTTAGATTGTGGGTTGAAAATTCACTCAAGAAAAAATTATTTGAGTTCTATAAAGAATGATGAACTTAGTTTTATTTTATTTTGATGAACTTATTCTTAGTGAAAGGTATTCAATATTTGTGTGTGTGTGTTAAAAGGTATCCAGTCATACTAGTAAAATATTGAATACGAACAACAAATCATCAGAGCTTCATCTCATGAATTTGAGTTAGTACACACTTTATCTCCTCCCTTGGGAAGATAATGAATTTTATACTTTTAAAAAAATATCTGTCATTTGGATAGAAGAAAATTCCAAATATAAGATTCAAATGAAACAAAAAATAGGTATGTCTTGTCATTAGAACCAGACCCACCAACTTGATAAATTGTTGTGTTTTTTATTTTCCATCAAAATTCGTTTTACCCTTTTTGTTTCTTTCTTTCAACATTTTGACGTGGAAAATGAGATTCCTATTTCTTTTTAGTTTTAATTTGTATGGCTTTAAGAATAAATAGATATTCCTTGCTTGTTTGAAATATCTTTCTTCGCCATAAAAATAAAATTTAATCTACGTTTTAGATCTGTTTTCTTGGATTGCTAACATTAAATAATACAGCTTTTTTGTTTGTGAATTGATAGAATATTACACCATTAAATTCATTAAAGATTTTAGTGGTATGACATTCATAAGGTTGTGATAAATCCACTTGTGGATGAAGTGTTTATTGAGGATGAGATTTAGGACCCAAAAAATTCAAGAGAATCTGAGAGTGATAGAAAAAATTGGATATATATGCACATGATGTTATAGACCTTATGGTGTAAACACATAATAGCCATATCTTGTTTCTCAAAATTGTGTTTGGCGTAAAATAGATCGACATTAAGTTGCAGACTAGCGATAATGAAAATTACGAAATTATGACTATACGATCAATTTTTTTGTTTGTTTGAAAAACACGTTAATTATCGGTAAAGGATTCTAGTTGCAAGAAAATATGGGTGGTGAAGACTGAAGTGAAAAGGATAATCATTTGAGTAAAC